TCATATAGCCCTGGTGTACAAGTTACTGTAGAGCGGTAACTTGTGGTTGCTGTGAGGCTGAACACTGTGACACTGATGTGTCAAATGTGTTAATGGCTGGTTAGGCAATGCGGACAGAGTGGGGTGAAGCTCTCAGATTAAAACAAGCTTGGAAGGAGGAGTGGCATCCACTTCCGTAATAGCTTGCCTCTGGAAACAGTATGAACCTGAAGAGAGGATGAAAGACACCCAAGCATTGAGGACTTTCCTTTGTAGGGTCGCTAGGAGTCGCCTGCGACTCGATGGCACTTAACAATAACAATAACAACCACAAATTTATTTTATATTGCTTTGCTTACAAAGTTTATACACATTATGTTTCACACTATTCTTAATTCACATTGTGTTTCAATAATTCTGGTTCATTGTATTTTATAAATTAATCAACATTGAACTACTCCCACCATTGCCCTGTATTTCCAGATCCCTGACAGATCTTTCCCATTTCCTTTATCCACCTCTCCCTCCATCCATCAAATTGTGCAACCCACAAATTCTGCCCTGTCCATCCTCACTCCTCTGCTCCTCTCCTTCCCCTCTTGCATCCTTTTACACTTTTAACAAGTTGTTTTTCTACACTTGGAAGCTTTTAAGACTCCAGTAGCTATTAATCCAAGTAAGATCTAAGGTATTGTAGACTATGTTACACTACTGTTCAGTTTTAATCTCCTTACAGACTAAAATCCCTGCAGATCAACCTTTCTCTTCCTTCTACCCTGTGCTTACAAAAGAAAAACACACACACACACACACACACAGAAAAAAGTAGGCTAGAAGTTTTCCAGCTACAGAAATGAGGCCGGTCAAATCATATGAATCTGATTTCAAAATGGATCTGATTCTTGTAATAAAATTCTACTAAATTAAAAAAAAATGAGGGGGGAAATGTACATTAGAAGAGGACTCAAGAATCCTACATTGTGAGCTGGGCCCGGTGCACTGAACTTTCTGATAGTATTATGGATTCTGCAGGAATCTATTCAAACCAAAACACCCAGTTACAGCTTTTCCTTTCCCCCATTCTTTCTCTCATATAGCAGACTTCAAAATGCTTACATTCAGAGCCTTTCCCTTCCTCCCCCATCTACTCTTCAAAACTTTCTCTCTTTAATAGTATAATGTGAGAGTTTACCATGCATACATATGTTTCAGGTGATTAAATACATTTTGCTAGCATATAGTTATTCTTTTCTGCTCTTTCCTATTGTCTTCCTTCCGTTTATCACAGAACTCATCTTAAGGGATATAGACGTTTATAGCATAGCAATAGAAAAGCACATTCAGGAAAATCCCCAGTGAAGTCAGATGTATTGCACTAGGCAAGTCTGCAGTCAGGGACCTCTCAAAATTACTGAGAAGCAAAGATGTTAGTTTGAGAACTAAAATGTACCTGATTCAGGCCATGGCAGTTTCAAATAACTTAATATGCTGCTGAGAGCTGGACAGTGAATAAGGATGACAGACGAATTGCTATCTTTGAACTGTGGTCCTGGAGATGAGTACTGAATATCCCAAGGACTGCCTAAAGAACAAATAGCGATGTCTTGGAGAAGGTGCCGCCACAGCGCTCCTTGGAGGCAAAGATAACAAAGTTTCGTCTCACGTATTTCGGGCATGTTGTTAGGAAAAGCTATTTTTTGCAGTACAATATCATGTTTGGAAAGGTAGAGGGACAGCGAAGGAGACAAAGAACCCTCAGCAAGATGGATTAACACGATGACTGCCGCAATGGACTCGAGTGTGTCAGAGATTGTGAGGATAGCATAGGGTTCAGATTTGTGGTTCATAGGATCGCTATGAATAGTACTCGACTCGACGATAACATGAAAGAAATCCAGTAGATTACAGTTTATAACAAAACTCAAATTCCTTCTAGATTGAGTTGGACTCTAGTCCAACTATGGAAAACTATGGAGGTGCTGGGGATCGAACCCAGGGCCTTATACGTGCAAAGCATACGCTCTACCACTGAGCTACACCCCCTCCTGAAGTGTACTTGCTAATATTTTTTTCTGAAAATAAGCGCTATTTCCTGAAACTTTTCGCTCCTTGAGTATTGTGTTGTTTAATATTAAGACACATCACCAGCTGCTTTAGACGAAATGAGCTCAGGAACTCGAAATAGTGACTTTTTTAGAGTACTGACCATGAAACTGAAGACAGAAAATTCGATACATGTGTTAGACAAATACCCACAGGATTTTTCGATTATGGCTTTAGAATCTTGTTAGGATCTTTTTCTTCTCTTGTGAGTGGGGCTCTAGTGGCCCCGTTCCTACGCAGTTGCGCTGTTAACCCAAAGGCTACATCTCTCCAATGTTTCAATTCCAACAGCATCTCCACCAGAGAAAGGTGTGCAGTTTCCTCCCATGAGGTTTACAATCTCAGAAACCTAGTGGGGGATCAGCTACGAGTAAGTTCCTATTTCATAGCAATGGATTTTTTAGTTTGGGGTGGTGTTTTACAGTGTCTAATTATTATGTTTTCGAGAAAGTTGTGCATCGCCGTTATATCCTTTCTGTAATGCCTGTTCAAACTGTTTGGAAGCAGTAGTGGCATCCACTTCCTAAACAGCATGACTCCGGAAACTCTACGAACTTTGTCGATATTTGTAGAGGGACTTCAGGCCTTTTGTTCATAGGGTCGCTATGAGTCGTGCTAGACTCGAAGACAATCAACAAAAACAACATTCAAAGTGTACACTGAGCAAATCACTCAAGAGGCTGGACTTGATGGGGAAAAAATGTGGCATCATCCGCTGTTGGCGGCTACTTGCGTAGCCAGGCAGACAGACTCAGACTGTAGAGGGCGCAAGTGAGGCTGTGTTTTTATTTGGGCTCCAGACGTCTCCGTGCGTGGATGTGATAAATGCAGCGTTGAGACGAGAAGCAATGTCGATCGTCAGCTATGAAATTGAATCCCACTGAAACTCAGAAAGTTTACTAGGTTTTCCTTGAAAAGGAAAGAAGAGCAAAGATCATTTGTTTGTTTGCTCCACATCGTTCTAACTCTTAGATGAAGTTTACTAAAACCTTGCTTTTTCCTGAAGAAATACTGTCTGGCAATTCTTCACAATCTGCTCTTCGCGTAAAAGGAGTCTGCTGTGACTACAGAAAGTCAGAGACTGTTTGCAATTATAACACAGTGATGTTTTCTTCAGACCTGGCACAGGTGTGAGCTCTGGGGACGTAGTGTATTAAGCACTAGGCTTTGCTCTCAGAGGCAAGGATGGCGAAGCTTCATCTCTCATACTTTAGAGACGTTACTAGAAAGAGTTATTCCTTGCAGAGGACATCATGCTTGGGAAGGCGGGGGACGGCGGAGGAGAGGACCCTCAGCCAGGTGGATTGACACAGTGACTGCAGCAATGGGGTTTGAGGGGGTCAGAGATGGTGAGGATGGCACAGGACCGGACAGGGCTCAGATCCGTTGTTTAGAGGGTCTCTGTGCGTCGTACCCTACTCGACAACACCTCACAACAACAACTAGTCTAAAATTTGATCTTTCGAATACACCAGCCTTCTGCGGGAGAAGGTGGTCTCCTCGGGTAGATTGACGAGTCAGAATTGACTCCATAGCAGTGGGCGTCTTGATTCTCAGAAAAGATGCAGAGGCGTACAGGTGAGTCCCTCTCAGATCAGGTGGGTGGCCTCTAAATCATCTTAGGGCTAGCCTGTCACAGACTGGGGTTACAAGGGATAACGACAGCTTTTAGAGAGAAGAGCAAAGACCACTTTCTTTTTCTATAAAGACTCCCCCTTTCCTATGGAAAACAGCCTCCCTCACCCAAGCCATCCTTAGTAAGTTTCCTCTGCAAAATTGTCTCCAGGTTTAGCCTAAAACACAAAGTATCTTTTCATATTCTTGGGGTTTTTTAAATCAAATTCCTGTATTAATTCATGAAAGTCATTATCAGTTCAGGATCGATCACTGAAATTACTTGTGGTCAAAGTAGGATCGACGGAAAAGCGTGTGTCAGCTGTTTTGAAAGCATGTAGACCTTACCCGAGGGCTTGGATAAGGTTGTCTGTACTCTGCTTCTTTTTTTAATTTTAGTTGAGATTTTAATGCAAGTTTACCGAGAACATGGATTTCCATTCATTCGTTGTTGCATATCTCCCTCCCTACCCACCCCCCACTCCACTTCTTTTTTAGCAGCCATTTCAGGAGGTGAGACTCTCCCATCCATACCCAGGAACTGAGTTTAGGAAAGGTAGACAAGCTGCAGTGTAGTTTGATGGTTTCTATTGGCTCTATAGCTGCCTGTGATTGAGACGTAGTAGACAAGACAATGGGAGTCTTTGTCAAACCTGGTTTAAACAACTGTTTTCAAGCATCCCAAAGGAGGCAATGATACAAAAAATGGATTTTTTTCTCTAGTAGGAGTGAATTTTTATTTTGTTAGGTGCTGTCAGACCGATTACAACTGTAATCCTTGCACCATGTTGCTCACGTTCTCTGACCTGCTCATCTTTTTGAAACTGCAGCTAGTGACAAAAACTAAGTGTCAGAATGGCCAAGTGATCTAAGGCGCCAGACTCAAGTTTCACTTCCTCCAAACGAGGATTCTGGTCTCCAATGGAGGCGTGGGTTTGAATCCCACTTCTGACACACCTTTGTTTTTAACCTTCTGTTTGAAATCATGTTTTATCCACCCCAGAGATGGAATTTGGGTTTTTTCCAAATACCCTGAGGAAAAAAAAATTTTAAAAAAATTCCACTTTAGCCTTATACTGCTAGAGCAAGTGTTATCTCTATCTTGTCACTGCTTTCTTAACATTCATTTTTTTTTCCTCCAAACTCACTTAATTGGACTGCTTAGTCTTTTTGGTCATGCGAAGATGGCCTTAGAGTACTTAGAGATAATATGTGGAAGATAAAAATGACAACAAGGAACTTTCACTGAGCATCAGTATGGCAAGAAATCGCTTAAGAAAAATGTAGCAACAGGAAAAAGAAAATGGAGATACAGGGAATCGAACCCAGGACCTCGTGCATGCTAAGCACGCGCTCTACCACTGAGCTATATCCCCTCACAAAATCGCATTTCTTCCTGTGGCATAGCCTGTTTTATATGAATTTCCATCGTTTCTCACTCACGTCTTTGAATGCTAGGTCATACAAAGAAAATCACTTTATGTTCAATTCTACAGCTTCCATTTTCCCTACACTGCACTTTCTTGGGCACGGATAAAACAAGAGAAAAATACTTTAGTGCCAGAAAGAAAGGTGTCTTTCTTGGTCAGTGATCTTCCACCAGCTTGCCCTTAGGCTGGGTGAAATACAGCATTCTCTTGTAAAATCTCTGAATAAAACTAACTGAATTCTTCAGACTTTAGGGATCATATTAATGTTTCACGTAGAAAATAAAATACATAACTAGAATAATTCACACGTGTGTGTGTGTGTGTGTGTGTGCGAAAATACTCTAAAACCGACATAGACACAAATGTCACTGTATTTTCAAAGAATAACATGTCCTTACTAACTCAAGGAAATTTTTTGCACAATAGTTTGTCACTATTGTAAAATAGACGAATGGTAGATAAATATTTAACTCTAGCGAAATGAAGTTGGTTCTGGGTGGGGTTGATTTAGG